AGAGGACATGGGGAATTGCAGACCAGTTATCTTTACGTCCATTGTAGGAAAAACAATGGAAAGGCTCTTAATAGTGAGAGACCTAGTGATGCTAGATAGGGGAGGGAGGCTGACAGCCACACAACACGGCTTCTGCAAAAACAAGTCATGCCAAACAAACCTTATGGAATTCTACGACAAGTTTTTGAGATGGCTAGATGGAGGGGATGCAGTGGATGTGGTATACCTGGATTTCAGCAAGGCCTTTGACAAAGTGCCCCATGATCTCCTGATTGAGAAATCAGGGAGTTTTGAAATAGACCAAAGCACTGTTCGATGAATTAGGGCATAGTTGACTGACTGAAAGCAGAGGATAACCATTAGTGGGGAATCATTGGGATGGCAGCCAGTGACAAGCGGGGTCCCTCAGGGCTCTGTCCTGGGGCCAATCCTGTTTAATCTTTTCATCAATGACGTGGAAGAAGGGGTGAACAGTCTGCTGATCAAATTCGCAGACAATACTAAAACTGGGCAGTGGCCACAACTGAGGAGCAGGGACTCCAGATCCAAAAGGGTCTGGACAGACTATGGAAGTGGGCAGGAGACAACAGGATGGTGTTCAATGTGGATAAGTGCAAGGTCTTGCACTTGGGGCATAGGAATAGCTGTCATAAGTACAGGTTAGGGGACAAGTGGCTGGAGAGTAGCATTTGTGAAAGGGATCTAGAAAGGTATTACTACCACTCTATATGTCTCTGGTGCGCCAACAACTGGAGTATTGTGCTCAGTTTTGGGCTTCTCCTTACAGAAAGGATATAGTCAGGTTAGAGTCAGTGCAGTGTAGTGCCACAAGGTTGGTGGCTGGTTTGCAGGGGATGCCGTATGAGGTGAGACTGAGGGAACTGGGTCTCTTCAGCCTGGAGAAGAGGAGACTCAGAGGGGATATGTTGGCGACATACAGGTAAGTGAGGGGGTGTCACACAGAGTGGGTAGAGACCTGTTCTCCCCTGCAGAGGAAGGCAAGATGCACTCCAGCGGAGCAAAGCTCAGAGAACCAAGGTTCCATTTAGATGCGAGAAAGCACTTCCTGACAGTTAGGACCCCAAGGGTGTGGAATGGGCTTCCATGAGAGGTCGTTGAGGCCCCATCTGTGAGGGTGTTCAAAGATAGGCTAACACATACACATGGTGGGCATGTCATGAGCGGAGCTTGCTGGAGCCGGGGGTCAGACAAGAAGGTCTGGGAGGCCCCATGTGACTCGCTCCGTTTCTAGGTTTCTAAATAGGCAGGAAGACGATATGCAGCCTTGCTGTATTGCTTTCCCAATCGGTAGTTCCATGTCCAGTTCTCACTGTTGCTTCTTGACACGCGTGCAGGGTTCTCAAGAGACAAATAAGATGGTCTGGTACTCCCATCTCCTTAAGTACTTGCTACAATTGGTTGTGATCCACACAATCAAAGGCTTTAGCATAGTCAATGAAGCACAAGTAGATTTTTTTCTGGAACTCCCTAGCTTTCTCCAAAACTGACCTTTTCCAATCCTGAGGCCACTTTTGAGTTTTCCAAATTTGCTGACATATTGAGTGTAGCACTTTATCTGTATCGTCTTTTAGGATTTTGAGTAGCTCAACTGGAATACTGTCACCTCCACTAGCTTTGTTGTTGCTCAGACTTCCTAAGGCCCATTTGACTTCACATTCCAGGATGTCTGGCTCGAGGTCAGCGACCACCCCATCGTGGTTACCAGGGACGTTAAGGTCTTTCTTGTATACATAGTTCTTCTGTGTAATCTTGCCACCTCTTCTTAATCTCTTCTGCCTCTGTTAGGTCCCTGTCAAGTTTGTCCTTCATCATGCCCATCTTTGCCTGAAACATTCCCTTCGTATCTCCAATTTTCTTGAAGAGATCTCTGGTCCTCCCTATTCCATTGTTTTCTTCTATTGCTTTCCACTGTTCATTTAAGAAGGCATTCTTATGTCTTCTAGCTATTCTCTGGAATTCTGCATTCAGTTGGGTTTATCCATTTTCTCCCTTGCCTTTTGCTTCCCTTCTTTCCTCTGCTATTTGCAAAGCTTCCTCAGACAGCCATTTTGCTTTCTTGCATTTCCTTTTCTTTGGGATGGTTTTAGTTGCTACCTCTTGTACACTGTTGCGAACCTCTGTCCATACTTCTTCAGGCAATCTGTCTATCAGATCTAATTCCTTGAATCTATTTGAAACATCCACTGTATATTCATCAGGGATATGATTTAGGTCATACCTGAGTGGCCTAATGCTTTTCCCTACTTTCTTCAATTTAAACCTAAATTTTGCAACAAGAAGCTCATGATCTGAGCCACAGTCAGCTCCTGGTCTTGTCTTTACTGACCGGATAGAGCTTCTTCATCTTTGGGTACAGAGCACATAATCAATCTGATTTCTGTGTTGACCATCTGGTGATGTCCATGTGTAGAGTCATCTCTTGGTTGTTGAAAAAAAGTGTTTGCTATGACCAGAGTGTTCTCTTGACAAAATTCTACCAGCCTGTGCCCTTCTTCCTTTTATTTCTCCAAGGCCAAACTTGCCTGTTATTCTTGTTATCTTTTGCCTTTTTACTTTAGCATTCCAATCCCCCATGATGATAAGGACATCATTTTTTGGTGTTACTTCTAGAAGGTGTTGTAGGCCTTCATTGAACCAGTCAGCTTCAGCATCTTTAGCACCAGTAGTTGGGGCATAGACTTAGACTACTTTGATGTTGAATGATTTGCCTTGGATTTGAATTGAGATTCTCTCATTTTGGAGATTGTATCCCAGTACTGCTTTCCCTACTCTTTTATTGACTATTTATTTAAAATATTTATATCCCACCCTATATAGGATTATAGGACATTAGGAGGCAAAGTACCCGGAGGAGGGCTTTCTCTGTGGTGGCGCCCTGCCTATGGAATGCGCTCCCCAGAGAGGTCTGCCTGGCGCTGTCGTTATTTGTTTTTTGGCTCCAGGCTAAGACCTTTTTATTTAAACAATATTTTAATAACTTTTAATATCATCCATAGGTTTTAATTTGCAGCCAGGATGAATCTGGATTTTATTTGTATTATTTGTATTGTGTTTATTTTATGTAAGCCGTCTCGAGGCTATGCAACGCGATGGCATACAAAAATTCTAAATAAATAAATAAATAAAATATGCAAAGCATCTCAGGACAACTTACACTTATCGAAACAAGCAATCTGTAATTAAAACAACAATTAACAATAATTAGCAATGATTAAGAATATACATAAAACTAACAGTAACATATTACCAATGAAAATAAAGTCAAAAACAAAATCAAGATCAAAAACAAAAACAAAAATAAAGTGCAACTGTGGATAGTTAAAAACCAGATTAAAATTCCTAGTTCTTAAAATGTTGGGCAAAAAAAAAAGGTCTTCACCTGAATATAAAGTTGGCACCAGGCAGACCTCTCTGGGGAGTGCATTCCATTGTCTGGGCGCCACCGCAGAAAAGGCCCTTCTCTGGGTAGAGACCATCTTCACCTCTTTCAGAGAAGGTTCCCAGGAGCCTCTCCTGCAGATATTAAGGGGTGCAAGGGCTCATAGGGAAGGAGATGTTCCTTCAGGTATCCTGGTCCCAAGCCCTTTAGGGCTTTATAGGTTAACACCAGCAGCTTGAATTGGGCCCAGACTCCAATTGGAAGCCAGTCAGCAATCTGGCAGCTCTATTTTGAACCAATATAATGGACTATAATGGCTACTCCATTTCTTCTGAGGGATTCTTGCCTGCAGTAGTATACATAATGGTCATCTGAATTAAATTCACCCATTCATGTCCATTTTAATTCGCTGATTCCCAAGATGTTGATGTTCAGTCTTGCCATTTCATGTTTGGCCATGTCCAGCTTACCTTGATTCATAGATCTTACATTCCAGGTTCCTATGCACCATTGTTCTTTGCAGCATCGGACTTTCCTTTCACCAGCAGATACATCCACAACTGAGTGTCCTTTCAGCCTTGACTCAGCCTTGACTGAGTGTCCTTTCAGCCTTGCTTCATTCTTTCTGGCGCTACTAATACTAGCCCTCTGCTCTTCCCCAGTAGCACATTGGACACCTTTCGACCTGAGGGCTTATTTTCCGGCCTCATATCTCTTTGCCTTTTCGTACTGTCAATGGGGTTTTCATGACAAGGATACTGGAGTGAGTTGCCATTTCCTTCTCCAGTGGATCAGCTTTTGTCAGAGCTCTCTGCTTTGACCTGTCTGTCTTGGGTGCCCCTGCAGGGCATAGCTCATAGCTTCATTGCACTATGGAACCCCCTTCTTCATGGCAAGACATTGATCCACGAAGGAGAGAGATATGGTAGCACTCTACAAGTACCGGAAAGGCTATCACAAGCAGGACAGGATCTTTTCTTGATCATCTCAGAGTTCAGGATGCAGAATAATGGACTCAAGTTACAGAAAGCCAGATTCTGTCTAGATTTCAGGAAAAATTTCCTGAAGGTGAGAGCAGTACAGCGGAACCAATTAGCTCAGCTTATTCTATGATTCTATGAAATTTATCACATTAATTGTACCCCTGTTTTTTTGCTGTCACTTGTATGTCCAACAGGTCCAAACAGATAGTTTTTCATGCTCTGGAAGACAGAGATGAATACACCCAAGTATGTTCACCATACTTAAGATACTATTCCTACAGCTTTTGTAAAAGAAATATTTCCAGTTAAATGACTCTGTAAACCATGGCAGCTTCAATGTAGGAAATTTAGGTCCCTTCCCTCTAAAGTTATCTTCTCTACCATCAGAGTGTATTAGTATATTTTGAAAAAATTTGGGAGCAATCCGATACATGTTTGTAAGCAGAAAAATGTTTTACAACTTCCAGTGTACTCAGCCAGTTCTAAATCAATTCATTTAGATTATTGCAATTAAATGCAATTATTTCTGTCAAGAGACTTCAAGCATGCTGATATGATTTTAAAGATTTAAAAATTTAAAATAACTTTTGGAGTATTTTCTCCTTCACCATTTGCAGGGTATATTATCATTTTGGAGAATTTGGAAACTATTCCCTTATTGTCAGAAATCTCCACAGCGACATCCTGAAGATTTCTTGCAATATAGTTGTCCATCAAAGTCCTGTGAACAGCTACCTCCGTATGTTACCCTTTACTTGTATAATTTAAGTAATATGGTCATTTCTCAATAGTTCCTTTACTTAGGAGATTACTGTGAAGGTTGTCCAGCTGCAGGGAGGTCATGCAGCACTCCAATTTATAGCATCTCTCAGTCAACCTGAACTGAGGCAGAGGAACTCCAAGGGTTGGAGGCTTCTTTTCAGTCTGGGTGGGGACAGCTGTTGCCTATCTCCTAAGCAACTGCTGAGCTTGTTCAGTCTGTTTTCCCTAACCTCCTTTTGGTTTAAGCATATAACATGAAAGTGCAGTCTGGTACACAAACACCTTTTAAGAATCCAGGAGAATGGGAGTAAAAAGTGAGAACTGGATCATTACTTTTCTTTTTAAACAATACTCTTCCCCACTGTTGTGAACACTCTTTCCGTTGGAAGAGAAAATTATTCCAGGCATGCAGAGAGTTCTTTTTAAAACTTTATCGCAATGAAGGGAACAGAAAAAAGATGGTTTCCTTCCCACTTTTCTGTTCACCTGAGCACATGTTCACACCCCCCTTTTGAACCCTGCTCCCGGCTGCTTGTTCCCTCCTCCGTTCCCCTAATTGGCTAATAGGGTACTGAGAGTTTACACTCTTTCCACCCGCCTACTCCGTGCTGCCCCAACACCGGCCCTTCTTCCCAATCCAGCCCTGCCCCTGGTGGGCTTCAATAGGCTCATTTTGTTCTGCCCAGATTGTCAATAAACATTCAGGAAGTATTTGGCCCTCCTGCCTACATGCCTGTTTCCCCATACCTTGTGCTATCTGATTTTAGCCCCTCCCCTCCTTTGGGCTAAGTAATTTTCTTTGTTACACTTTTAAATCTCTTTACTCCCTTGTTGCAAATCATCCTTTCACACCTATTACCCACCCTATTAAAGGAGAAGAATTTTAGGAAAATTTGTCTATGTGTAGGGGAGGGGAAAGTTCAGACCTCCCCTCCTGAATGCATTTATTGGAGTAAAGACAAAGACGCCTCAGCCACACACTATACAATTAACCTAACAGTTTGGCTCTGATTTGAGTGCTGCTTGAGGATGGAAGCTTTTCCTAGCTGTATTATGGAATTGCTTTAAAAAGTCTGTCCATAAGTTCTAAAGCCATTTACAAGATGAAATCATGTAAAGGAATACAGTTTATTATTTCATCATAGTTAAATTTGGCTTTCTCTCTTTGTAGGCATTGTTTTTTAATCCAAATCATGTTAGTACCTGCCCCACCCCAGCATCTCCATCTGCCGAAATTTCTAATCAGTATCCTTCCCCAGTTGCTGCCTTTCTAAAATGATAATCCTTCTCCTCTTATTCTTGCAAGCCCATATTAATGTGTTATAATTGTTTCTGGGCCAAATAGTTGAGAAGTTTTGGAGCTTCACAAACACTAGTCAGAGTTTCTAAAAAAAAAAATCCATCGCGCACAAGTCTGTAGATATTTGTATAATTATATCATGCATTATCTCTTCTATACTTTCACAATGTTTTGTTTCCTGTCTTGAGATTTTAGAATAAATTCTGTCCTGGTAAAATCCTGATAAAACATCAGTGGGCCTTAATTTTTTAAATTTTATGTTGATCGGAGGGATTCTGATTCAAAATGTGTGCTTTATGATTTGCAGCAACTAACACTCTCTGTTTTCCTTTGTACAGCTATTGTCTTTGCATTTCTAATTTATATGGGCATTTTCATTATTCTGACATTGGGACGGTTTTGTATGAAGTAAGTAAATACTTCACTAAGAATATCCAAAATGTAAGTTAATTGTTTGTTAACCCCCATGTTTTATTGGACAAAGTTAGTTCATACAGCCTGCAAATGTAGCCTTAAATATCTTAAGATCTTCTGTAGAGGTACTTTTCTGGGTAACTTCTTTAACAGAGGGGTGATGGAACGATGGAGAGGCCCTTTCTAAGGTAAGTGGAAAGGCAAGAGGCATGCAGGGAGGTTAATGTTCTTCTTTAGCTCAGATTATTCAAGCCAGAGAAGAAGTCCTGATGGTAATATGTCCCAGAAAATGATTTGGATAGGGTTGCACTCTCCCTGAAGGATCAGCTTGAGAATGCTGTTAGATGTGGTTCTTTTTTGAACAGCTAACACCAGCTGTTAGTGGGACAAAGAGCCAGTTAAGGCTGGTATACCTGCTCCTATGAGCAAAAAGGAGGCTAGCAGCTGCTAGAACTCCATGGCCAGGTTCTGCTCAGCTGATGTTAAGTCCTTTCACTGGGGCCAGGCAAAGCATTAGTCCTGGTGGGTACATTGGCTTCAGCATTGGCTGCCTATGCTGGTCACTAGCATGAGCTCTGAACTACCTGAACAGGAATAGCCTGTTTCCTGTTATTCATATTCAGATTACCTCCTGATTAGAGAAATGCCATATGTTATATATGGGATGGTCGCTGAAGAAACTTCAGTTAGTCTAGAAAACAGCTGCTAGACTGTTGACTGGGAGTAAACAGATAAAACCTATATTCCCAGCACTTTAACAACTTTACTGTCTGCTACTCTGCTTCAGAACACAATTCATAGTGCTGATTTTAAACTTTAAAGGCTAATACAGCTTAGGATACAGGGTATTTCAAGGAATGTCTGCTCCTAGATTAACTTGCCAAAACAATGAGATCATTTGCAGATAATCACTCATATATGCTGCCACCTTTTGGTCTGAGGTGGGCAGTGGACAAAGACAATTATTTTTTTTGTGTGGCACTGCCCCGTATCTTCTGTTCCATCCCTGGAAAGCATTAAGCTTTTTGCCTTCTGGCATTTTCTGAGATTTTACATTTATGATTCCTTAATTCTACTTTGTCCTTAAACATGCTGCCGCCTCCGCTTCTTTCAGGACGTTTCTGCTGTTTTACAATTTGTCATGCTTTTACTGGTTTAGCCAGCCTTGGAAGCTGCTCTACGACAAGATATCAAATGCTCTAGATAGATAGGAAGATAGATAGATAGATAGATAGATAGATAGATAGATAGATAGATAG